AGAGAGAGAGGTTGAGTTAGCGATACATAGCACTCAATATTCAACTCACTAACAGCTTCTATAGTATTTAATAATCTACTTAATACAAGTTTTTATAATGTATAATTTATTGATATCTTATTCAACTGAACTATGAAAACCAGTTAGTATCCATCCAACAATGAATCTCCACTATCAATTTGGTGAATTTCAAGATCTAGGCCTTAATAAATTCAAAATCACTTTTTTCTTTTTTAGCATTATTGATCTAATGATGATAATGCTATATAAAAACTTTGGCAATAAAAAAATGCTTATGAGGCCTATATCTAACCATCTCAATAAAATGGATGGCTTATATTAGTTGGGATAGAATGAAAACTTTCTAGAGCATTTTTTCAAAATTTTACTTTTTGTGATTGTTCTTCAAAATGAAAAGCATGTACATTTAAAAATTCGTATCAAACAAATGTCTCTAACATAGTTTTTGAAGATAGTTGTATTATACTACAACGTTGCATGAAATCAATCCTCATATAACATAGTTTTTGAAGATGGTTGTATTATACTACTATACAAATATTGCATGAAATCATTCCCCATATATATATATATATATATATTTATTTATTTATTTAATTTAATTTATTTTATTTTGACCCCAAACTTTGGGGACTAGCTTGCAACTTAAAAACCAACCTCCAAGACGAATAAACATTTTTCTTTTCGACTTTTTAGATGTCTTTGAAAACAAAAAATTAACGCGGGCAAAATCTAATTTTAGAGGGGCAAGATCTAGGTATTTAGAAGTTCGAATTCAAAATTTCGAAATAATGATGGATCCCAAAATTGGGAGAGAGAAAAAAAAGGAAAAGAAAAAGAAAACCTTCCAAGCTGCCCAAGACAAGTTGTCTTACAGCAGCATGCTCCCGCGAGATTATAAATGTACATCACCATTCGCGACGTAAGCACACGTGAATTTGACGATGACGTTGGCAAATGTTCTAAATACGCAATCTATTACGCGTGGGCTCATCATGACCGTGGATTTGAGCAGACATCGTGAATGGGTGAAAAAGTACTATCGTTCTTCTTCCTTCGGCTAGGGTTTGGTGCAACAACTTGCACCAGGCCTGGAGTCTCAGCCTCAGGGCATATCTGTTTCCAGTCTCTTTGAGTGCGGCTAGCGTCTGTCCATGGAGGATCTAAAGGTTGGCTTCCTTTACAATTTCGGATCTTTTCCGTGTCGTTCTGTTTCTCTGTATCGTGATTGTTATCTTATTTTTCTTCATCCGCGAGTAGATCTGCGGTTGGGTTACGTTTGTATTATCTTAATTTTTGTTTTCTCCTTCGTATTTAATTCTTACCTCTTCCTGTTTTTCATTTTTAATATGATTCTTTTTATTCACTGCATTAATTTTTTCCTACTAGACATGCTTCATAGATTGCATCCATATGTGTAGTCTATAGATGGATGGTGTGCACCCCTGTATCTAGCCTAGAGATAGGACGTTTTTATATGATCGTGTGTCTATGGAAGGGGGGATGGGGGCTGTGTGTGTCTTTAGGCGACAGGTGCTTGTAGTGTTGTGCAGAGAATGAATTTGAGTGCACAAGAGAAAG